AAGCTGTGGCTGGCTGCATGTTGCCCTTTCACACCCATTGGTGGTTGGAGGGCCATGGGTGAGCTGGTTCCGGGGACAGTGCCAGCAGGAAGGATGACCGAAGGGCGCGTGGTCAGGGCAGGAAGGAGGGCAGAGCCAGGCTGGTGAGGGTGCGGATTAGTTCAACAGCCGTGACAGCTCCCTTGCTGATGGCGTCAGCAGTGATGACTGCCAGTGGAGCATCTTCTATGTGAAAAAGCACCTTGGTGTGCTAGTTCTAAGTACTAACTGGGGGACCAAGCATCCAAGATACCTTGAAACCTCTGTTCCTATTCACTTTCATTAACTAATGCTGCTTTCAGCAGTGGCTGAGGAGCTGCCTCAATTCTCCAAAAAGTCAGCAAGGCCTTCACTGCTGTCACTACACAAGTGGAACTCCCTGAAGGTGAACTTTAAAGGCTGCATGTGCCAGTGGGATCTTGACTTTGCTTTGTGCCATCATCCAGCACTTCACAATAATTGTGGGAACCACAAGTGGCAGGCAGTCCCTTAAATTATTTGGCACTACCCCTTAAGTATCCGATCAGTCAGGGTAATTCAGAGTTTGATGTCTAAGAGCTCTACACACCTGCAATTACATAAATCCACAAAATTGTACCCATAGGTATATGCAAGCACAAGAATGTTGGCGTAAAATTAAAGGCCATTTCCTAAAACCTGTGCCGAAATTTTGATGATATACTATATGAGGGGTTGTTATTTTGAAATGGATTTGTGGAAAGCAATTGAAAATCTCCAGGCATCCCATCTGTGTTTAAAGTAACAACAATAACAAAACTTTAAATTAGCATAGGAGATTTAAGACATTTCAGGAAAACATTGATTAAATCTGCCAATGAAATGAACGTGTTTGGCGAGTGACCTAATTAGTGTATACTTGGTTCTTTTTCACTGCACTGCTTACCACTAATTGCTGTTCTGCTGGTCTTCTCCTGACAAGTGAAAAAAAAACAAGGATGAGGGATTTGTTGAGGAAATAGTGACATTCAGTTTTAATTCATTTGAACCTGCTGCCAAGCTTAATTATGGAACTGAGAAACTGAGACCGCGAGGCCCCCAGCCATTTAGGTTATAGGAGACGGAGATGTTTAGCATCTGCCAGTGTATTTGGGTAGCACTTACTACAGCTAGGTATAAACTTGAGTTTGCTGATGCTTAGCTGTTTTCTTTCCCCCACAGGTCAAAAAATCCCAGTGGTTTTATTCCTTAAATTTAATTATTTGGCCCTAATGGCATCAGGCCAATACAAAATCACAGGCACTGTATTTCTTAAAGGAAAGGTTTAACAATTAATCTAGATAATCCTGTCCTGACTTTCTTTGTGTGTGTGTTTGCATGTACGAACTGGTAATATATCATTCTACAAAAAACCCCTCAGAATCCTGCAATACTTGTAGCATTGGAGTACCGAAGTCACCCTCAATATAAGTACACTTGAGCTGAGGGGCTCATGTTACTGGTGAGTTCAATTCAGCAGGGGATAACAGAGTTTTCCCTGTTTGTGTTTGGAGTTCTTAAAGGAAAAGGGCAGGATGCTTCATGAAAAAAGGGGAAATAGTTTTGGTTTTGGTTTCCTGTGGTGGTGATGGATTCTTGTGAACAGAGTCTGAAGGTCCCGGTTTAGAATCCAAGTTCGTTTTTCATGATGTTCTGCATAAAAACTGTGGGGGGAAAAAATGTATAATTCATTGACCAGAATGTTTACGAGGCAGTGCACACACAATAAAAATGCAGGAGGGGGGAAAAAAAAAGAGCTGTGGAATTTGAGGCTAGCAAAGGGTGGAGCTGGTGGGGCTTGCACTTGTTTTTAAAAGAGGAAAAAGAAATGTAGACCTTTTTTTTTAGAGGAACAGCATCTAATTGGCAGACCCTGATCTGAATTCCTCCCCGGGGATGATTCCAACCATTTTCCTACCATTTCCCAGGAGGAGCCAGGGAACAATTATCTGAGCAGGGATGGATGTTAGAGCAGCCAAACCCAGCCATGCTGCACCTGCCAGGGGCAGCCACAGCAGCCCAGTTCTGCTGGCGGGGAACACAGCTTACACCCACTCCAACCACAGCCTGGGCAAGAGGGAAGGACTCTCACACAGGGAATTTGGAAGTTCATTTACACTATGGGGGGAGCTGGGGGGAATGTTCCAAGACCAGTTTTAGCTTTTGTGGGGACTAAACTCAATCTACCCAGACAAGTATATAAACCAAAACAAAAACCCCACAAAGAAACTACTCCTCCCTCAACCCAAACAGAAAAGCCAGCACTACTTAGTAAGTGCCAGAGACATAGAAAATGAAGTTAGACTGTAAACAAATATAATATGTTAGTGTAGGTCACCCACATAGGCTAGAAACATCAACGTGGAATAGCAGAAATTGTACAAAAAGGCAGCATGTCTGGTTTTTTTGTTATATAGCATTGCAGGGTTCTTATAAGGATACTTGAATGCTGAAACAGCCTGGGAACTTGGCTTCCCTTGCGGCAGATTGATGTTCTTTGGACGAGTTTTCAGCCATGGAGAGATTTTGTCCTGATGTTCTGTGTGTGGTGGAGAGATGTGTCAGGAGGGGGGAGGGCCAGAAAAAGATACTTGGAATGGAAATGAGCTTGAGGGAAGGAAAAAGAGCAGCTTTGCAGAGAGATTGGGAGTAGTAGTACTAGAATGCATAATGGACAGCTAAAGATACAAGGTTATTTGTCTCAAAACTCTCATTGGATTTCTGGTTATATAGCCCCTTGTGCCCACTGAAAAAATGTTTAGAAGATATTCATAGTTTTAGATATTATGGACTGATCTTAATCTTCAATAGTTAGGTATGTTGGATATACCTGATATCTATAATACCACAGTGGAATATTCTTACTCATTCTGGTTTATATTTACAAGCAAAACTAACTTAGATGCAAATATTTATTGTGGTGTCTAGAAAGTCATGTAAAAATAATTTCCTTTCTATTACTTCATATATGAAGCCTGCACTGTACACTGATGCTAAATATGAAAATCTAACTCTATGATATGTTTTTAATGCTAATATTAAAACTTACTTTAGCACTTTCACCTCCTGGTGAAAGTTGGGCACGAAAATGGTGAGAAATGAAAAGAAATTTAGTGTTCTGACAAGAGCACCTTGCTACCCTAAAAAATAATTTGCTCAGTGTTTGATCCAAGTGATCCCATGACTTCCCAAGGCATTTCAGATTTCCCACTTGGTAGCTCTGATTTCTTGTCAGGATCTCTTATCTAGCAAGATGGAAGCTGCATCTAACTGTGTCTCTTGTTCCTCCCAAAAGCTGCTCTTCCAAAGGGCAAAGGCATTGGAGAAATCCAAGGAGATCTCTTGCTCTCTTGTAGCTTATTTTTTGGTTCAAAATGGCATCAGCTTTACTGCTGCTCTGCAGTGAGGAGAGAGTTTGGGTAACACTGCAAAGGGAAATACAGTGTAGAACAAGCTGATTTAAAAATGGCATTCTCAGTAGCAGTAAGAAAGGAAAATCAAACGGGAATCTGAGCTCACCTCCCCAAGCTGACCAAACTGCAGCATGCTTCTTCATGGTGGTGTTTATTAGATCTGTTGTCCCAGTGTACAGTTGTTCCAGGATTTCCCTCAATTTATAGTAAATCCCTACAAAAATTCACCCCAAAACAACAGCAACAAAAATGTAAAAAACAAAAAAAAACCCAAAAACCCCAGAAAACAAAACCAAACAAGAAACTAGAAAACTGAGTGAAGAAAAGTCCAGATCTTTGCTACCAAAATAGTGCTTTTCACACTCTTTAAGTCAGCAGTTTCTTTAACCATTTTGTCTGTTCCCTATTTATTTTTCCTTTACTTATTTCTGTGTGAATGATATTTAAACCAAGGAAACATAAAGATCCATATACACAAAATTCTTTCATCATTGGACTAACCCCTGCATTGAGTAGTGTATACATGCAAAATAATAATAAAGAGATGTTTATAACTTGAGGGGCAAGGTGAACACAAACACACATACCTAGACTTGGTGCAGAGAGGAAGGCAATGAGGCCTCCTAGGAAGAAAGGCTAGCAAAATAAATACAAATTGGTGCAGCAGGAAAGCATATCTGTGGTTGCCTCCTGTATGATGTGTATTGACCTAGTAAATGGAGATGTCTGCAAAGAAGCTGCTATGCTATAAATATGCTTGTGCTAATTATTATTAAAGCTTTCAGGCAGATCAGTTTCATCCATATGGCTTTCCAGGGAGATGCCAAAGATGTGGCTGTTCAGATGATACCCTGAAGCAGTTCCTGGCAGAAATCTGCCCCTTGTTCCAGCAGGGAGAGCAGTGAGATAAAAGGGATGTGGTTTAACCAAAACTGTGACTACTTCCTTACCATCATCTAGAGCTATCTGGCAGTTGCTTGTAGAGCACAGGTTGCAATTTCTCCCTGAATTGGTCTGAGAGGCTGCTCTCTCTGCCCCTGCACAGATGACCTCAGCTTGCCACAGAGACTTGCTGCCTTCCTCTTCTGAAGCTTAATTGTTGTACGAGTTCAAGGGACAGGGGAAAGGTGTTGTTTTCTCATGAAAATAGATGTTCCAAAGTGTATCATCATATCCAGGAAGGGCCATACTGCTGCCTCCTCTTATAGAAGAGATGGGGCAGGACTCCAGAGCACCAGAGCCTCATGAGCTCGTGCCCTTTTGCTGCCAGGGACCTTTTGTCTGTTAGTGCAGGTAAAGACCTGCCTACTCTCCCCCTCTGCTGCATATCTTCCTGCACTTTGAAGCTTCGGGTCATTGCATTCCCTTAAGCTCCACTAAGTTCAGGAGAAAAGATGTGAGAAACAGAGGTGTGGTCGTGCTGCTACTGGAAGACTATGAGACAATGTGAGAGATTGGAAAGAGTTTTCTTCTTTATAAAACTAAAGTATTTATCTATGCACATACACGTAGATAATACCAAAAATATCTGTTTATCTGCTTATTTTTCAGGTTATGGTTTTGTAGATTTTGACAGTCCAGCAGCAGCACAGAAGGCAGTAGCATCTCTCAAAGCAAATGGCGTGCAGGCGCAGATGGCAAAGGTAAGAACAACCGTGTTATTACAGGATTATTTCAGCTCTTGGGTTAAATTTCCAATAGTTTGTTTTGCTCCTGTTTTTTCTTAAGGTTTTGGATTGCTTATTCCGATGATTTTTTCATCCTTTGACTCCAGTGCCTTATTCATCCTATTGTTTGTCTGTGTTCTTGAGAGCTGTGTCTCATGTAATGGGCTCTGCTCCGATAGTCTCTCTCTCTCTGCCCTTCTCTCTGGAGTGGGTTGTAAGATGGAGAGCATTGGAGTGGAAAAGTATGGGAAATGCCTTTATGCTAACTGCTAGGTGAAAGAGTTTCCTTTTCTTCACCTCAGAGTTGTTGGTTCCTTTGCTTTGCAAAAGTTACTCTTTTGTGACATGCCTGGAGGGCTTCTCTGAAGGAGTGATTGACTGAACATAAGGAAAATTTGGTTGATCTGCCTTGGTTTGGCTTCTCTTGTTTGTTTGGGTTTTTTTATTTTGAGGACATAAATGGAAATGCAGTAGGTTTCTGAAAGAACAGCTGCTAAAGGTTGTCTGGAGGTGACTGGCATCTGCTCAGAGAGGCTGCAGGAGCCAGAGCAAGCACAGTGAGCTCAGATACTCTGGTCCTGGAACTGTCCTTTGTCCCCAGGCAAAGGGGCTGATGGGGAGACAGGGGTTATAGCAAATGACTGTTGTGTGCTCCAGCTGTTGTCTTTCTGAAGGCATAATAATGTGTCTTTGGGCTCTATACTGTCAGCCAACAAAAATAGCTGTTGCTTTGTACTTTAAAAATGCCTTGCCCAAGAATCACAAAGAGTCCTTAATATTGCCCAATTTAGTCTCTGTAGAAATTATGCCATCCTAGAGTCTCAAACAGTAAAAATGAACAGGTAATTACAAAAACAGAGGCAAATCAACTAATAAGCAATCACCACATTTGAAGACTCCCATTTAAAGGAATGCTGGTGGATTAAACCTTTTTTTATTCAACAATGTCATACTAAAAACAGCGGGGATTTTTTTTACAAGGAAAAGAATCCTTGCTGGTGAGGTTCTTTTGCCATCTACTGAATTACACTCACTGTGCCTGAAAGTAACTAGATGCCATCCATGTATTTCTGTTTAACAGTGCCCCACAATGCAAGCTAGGCTGTTTTATTGGCTCTTAGTTTTTATTGACATGTGGTGATAAAAAATATTTGCTTCAAATGGGTAAAAGATGGCAAGCTGAAAAATGTGAACTTCTACTAAGGACTATGCTATTTTATTTCCCAGATATATGGCATCTCCTTGTTAAAATATAGGCAATTTGATGCATTAGTCAAGCTGTGAGAATGAAACCAAAGACAGGAGATATGTTTTTGTCCTACTGAGATATCAAATAGCCATTTCTAGGGAGGAGTAAATCTATGTAAAATATCTATCAAATATAAATCTATATCAATCTGTAAAGTTGTAGATTTAAAATTTAGAGATTTAAAGACAGGATTGAAAGATAAATCTATGTTTGGTGTTGCCATGATTCAGAACAATGAACAGTTTCAGTACTTCTATGTGTGGAAACGCTACAAAAGAAGGTGACTTGAAACAGTATTGTTTGGATTGTTCAATATTTTAGGGACTAAAAGCAAAGCCTGATATTTTCAGAGTGGAAAGGGCTGTACCAATCCCTGAGGTTTGTTTTCTGGGGAACCCGTGGCAGGAATAGTCTTTTGCCCTGCATGATTTTGAGTCGGCTGGTGTGTATGCATTTGTTTGCATAAGACTGACTGTATTTTTATTATTTAGCCATGGTGCCTGGAATCCCAGATAGATTCTTTTCAGTGTGTTTGGTAGTTCAAGATAAATATACAACTGACTTTTCTTATCTCTGAAAAAAATCTGAGTATTTAGAAAAATGAGGTTTCAAAGGAAATTGAGATGACTCTACACAAAGTACCTCACATTGCTGAGAAGGCAGGAGCCTGGGAAAGCAAATCTATCTGGAGAAACATGTTAGTTCTTGCACACGTTAGAAGCCAAGTTGCATAACAGGACTGAAAGACAGCGTTACCTGCCAGTGTCTGAATTAACAGTGGGGGCTCAGAAGAGGTCTGAAGAAAGAGGCAGGAGAATAACTTAACCTCCACTTCTAGAAGTTTATCTGGAGCAATTTTATTTCAAGAGCTGCTTTAATTAGTGGTAAATGATGGCTCTCAAATGAAAGCAAATTAAAAAGAGTGAGTCTGAAGAAATTTCCTAAACCTTTTGCATGGCATTCTTTGAAAAATTAGTGTCAAGGTCCTTAATCTTTTATTCTGCGTTGCAAAGCCGTAAAACTGCCCCATGTAAGGCCCAGCAGAAGACAGACTGTGACCTGTGTCCAGAAAATGTCAAAAACCTCAGTCTAGTTGTGGATGCTTTTGAATAAAGGTGAAAGAGGCATCGGCCAGCTTTTGCTGTGCGCTGGCCTTCTCCAGTAGCAAGAGAAAGTATGCTGAATTGTCGGTATTGTCTGTGATGTTTTCCTGGAGAGATTTAGAGTGGTTCTTTCTCAGTTTTAGCACAATATAATTTTTCTCATAGAAATCCAGGAATCTTCTTTGAAAAACAAAAAGCAGAGCTGAACCACCACCCATGTTGGCTAGCAGAAACATCTTGTGGATACTTGAATAAAATACTCTTATTTTATCGATGCTTAAATAGAGCCGACTCCCTCTTTTTTTTATAGCATTTGGACACCATTTTGGCTGATTTTGTTTCAGAGTGCTGCCTCTGGAAGAAGGTTAAACACTAGTGGATTGATGCTCCAAGTCTCATCACTGTTGGAATACTTGTTCTGTTAAGACTAATACACCCTATAAACCCACAAAAGGAAAATAAGCCCCAAACGTTAAACATGTTTGAATCTCTCTTTTTTTTTTTTCTGGTTTGAAGTAGTTAGGAGAGGATTTGGCTGAGGGAGAGGAATGGCAGTATTATGCCTGCAGAGATAGTTGTGGCAGCTGGGAAATGAGATCTCATGGGCCTATGGGCAGCTGCCCACTTGATGGGACAAGGACCCACACAGACTCCTACCTGCATGAGAGTTGCATGAGGCTCTGGTACATGCATATGTTGTCACCTTACCTCTTTAGCCTACCTCAAGGACCCAAAGCAGAAGTTTTGAGTACTGCCGCTGTCCTGTGTCCAATAAAGTTCGTCTAAGTTGTCCTTCATTTTCAAAAGTGTTTGTTAACAATTTCATTTCTTGAAAATTAATGCTCTGGAGCTGCTGAGGGATGTTTTGCTAGCTGTCCTGGCTTATTTTTCTGTGTGTTTCCTGCTTGCCTTTGCAAATAATTAAGACATGTAGATTCATTTGTATGTATGTAGTGCCTGCTTGTCCAGGCTTGTGGAGTCCTGGTGTTATTTTGGGTTTGTTTTCCTACTAAAAATGGCACAACTGATATGTCCCTGGATAATCTCACAGGAATTATTGATTTGTTTGTCTCTTTGTGCTAGGGACTACACAACATGACACTGAAAAGACAGTTCTTATGTGCATGATTATCTATCAGTTTGGGGTTTTCCATATGCTCTTTTCCTGCATTTTCTAGAAAAATGTTATAGAGAGAATATGGAAAATTAAGAAGGAGAATCTTAGTAATAAGAGAGTTGGCTCAGACAAGTGGGCAAGGAAGCCTAGTACACATGAAAAATGTATCAATGTTCTAATAAAATCTGTAGCCACATCTATTCTTGGGATTTGCAATAGTCCTTCACCCAGAATTACACATTCATGAGGACATTCTTAATCTACGTTATACATAAGCTTTTAGTGATGCCAAGGAGTCTAAAGCACCTGAAAAATCGATAGAAGCCTGCTGTCTAAACAAATTTGAGTGCCTGAGCTTATGTCAGCCTGAAGTTGGTGAACTGTGTAACCAGTTTATACCTTCATAGACATTTGGGGGTCCTCTCTACAATCTTTTATTTCCAGTTCTAGTCGGCTATAAGATTGTGTAAAGTGGAAGTTCAGGCAAAGGTAGGTTCTTGCAGGGAGTATTTAATAGCTTCTTTAATATCTAGAAGCCCAACAAGAGTGTTGAAACAAATGCATTCACAAAGGAAGTGTTTTCAATCCTGCTGTTATTCCAAATGCACTTATAAGGATTAAAAATGTATTTGATGATGCATGTCTTCTCTTGGCTTTACTTTTCTATGTATAATGAATTTAGACATCCTCAGCACCTGTGTGAAAAACGTGGACATTTTAGGAATGTTTAATTAGTGTTGGCAGTTGTCTAAGTCCAAGGAACATTTTTAGACTACTCCACTGCAGTAATTGCCATCCAGAGGGTACACCGAAGGAACTGGTTCTGAAAAACGACTGTTCCAGTAGGCTCTGATGTGTTGTGCTTGACAAGGGAATTACAGAAAGTGATTTTGCTTCTTGTGTGATAATTTTCTCATCTCTCCATCATGTAGAAGCTTAAATAGAGCGAGTAATCACCATCTAGGTGAAAGATAAAAGGGGGCTGTTTCCCACAGAACAGAGACAAGTATAAGAGCTTCTGAAGAGAAACAGAGAGCTGGTTACTGTATAGTTAAATAGCTTTTCTCCAAGGACCAGGGGAAAGGAAATCCCACAGAAGAATCTTATTTATTTTTCAGGCTTTTGCGTAGATTTCAGGAATTGCTCTGGTATGAGTCAGTTGACCAAATAAGTCCATTCCGTCTGCTCGTTTTTCAGCTTCATTTTCTCTTCTTTTTAAATTACTTCTGTTTTTTCTCTGTCATACAGCAATACTCTATGGGGCTGTTTCTTAAAATGGAAGGACTGTCCAGTGGAAGTTCTTCTTCCTAATAGTAAAAATGCTATCCTTACAGAATATGAAATACACAGCCTGTATACATGATACACTGAACTCCACAAGTGGTTTCTTAATTCATGATTGTCTCCAAATTTTAGCTAACCAAACTTCAGGATACTGATTGATTGAGTTTTTGGATTATATTTGTGGATAACAGCCTTATTGACTGAATTAATTTCCCTTTTGAAA